TGTAAAATTTCATGATTTGTTTGACTTGGCCGGCAGAGTGGCTAAGTATGAATAGCTTCTTCGTGAGGAACAAGACCGGAAGAGCTCTTCCAAGGGCACTTACTATCGTGATCCTAATTATGAGGTGTTTACCACTAAAACTGAAGGGGAGTTTGAAGTAAATGTACCAAGCTCAACATAAAGAAGGCTTATACTTGTGAGGCCTTGACAAAACCAAAGTCAGCCACGGCCAACTTGCAGGCCGCTTCTGGTTCCAAGTGGAAGGGAGCAAACCCCTCCAAGAGTTATTCTTTTGACATCTCTAAAGCCGAGCATATTTTTGATTTGCTCATGGCTGACAAGCAACTGATTTTCACAACAAGCCACAAGATGCCATCGGCCTCAGAAATGGCCATGAAAGAGTATTGCAAATTTCACAATTCATGGAGGCATTCCACTAATAATTGTGTGATTTTCCGTAACATAGTGCAAAAGGCGATTAAAGATGGCAGGTTGAAGTTTCCAGAAAAAATAGAAGTCATGGGTGTTGATGAAAATCCTTTCCCCAAGGTTGTTGCCACAATTGTTACTTCCCTTGCAGCAGAACACCCTAAGAAGAAGGTGGACTTGGCAGATTCAAGAGCTAGTGGAAAACTTGAAAGTCCTGAAGCCGCAGCGTCCTTGGAGAAAACAGTGGTCGAGTTGGAAAGGCAACTCCGTGAGGCTCAAATAGCCTTAATCCAGCAAGGTTGTTGCCCCAAGTGTAAGATTCAGAATGAAGGTTGTCATAGAAATGTTCTAGAGGAGAATCTGTCTAATGATGACCGAGGCAAAAAAAAGGAAGGTCCATGCCCGGTTGACTTTCCAAAAGGTAGAAAACACAGTTATTGTAACTATTCCAGAGAAGGAAAGCCGGATCCATCCAAAAAGAAAGGCAGCAGAAAGGAGATCAAAATTCCTTCCAAGGAGTATAGAAAGGAATAGAATTTCCTATCAAGCAGGGCCTCGTCCTAGCAGAAAGTTTGAAAGTAGTAGATGGCAAGACAGAGGTTCTGAAGGTGATAAGCATTCCAGGCCAAAAATGGCCTCGGAGGCATGGGTTAGAAGGGGGAGTGAACATCTCCGACCAAGAATGGTTAGACCTCCTACCTTGCAAGATGAGGGGTGGAGAAGACTTGATCATCCCAAGTTTTCCATTCATGATGACTCTTATATGACCCGCACACAAAAGCGAAGGAAGCAAAGGAAGAGGGCTGATGGAAGGAAATTATGGGAGAAAGACCATGGTTGGTCTAATTGGTCAAAGAAGACTACTAAGCTATCAAACTTGTCTGAACTTCCAGCTAAAGGAGGGGTTAGAGATCCTGATGATTTATTAGATTTGGTTTCAGAGGTTGGAAATTCCTTGACTGCAGACGACCCTCCTATAAAAGATAGAACAGACTTGGAAATCCCCAACAGTTCCAACAGCAGCAAAAAGATCTGTTTTGGGAGCCTTCCAGGTGAATTTACTTACAACTGGCATTTGAGGCCTTTCCATTCTTTGGCCTTGAAATTACTTTGCCAATTTGATGATTTCCAACTAAAATATTGGCCAAGACATTTGAACACGGAGGCTGATGATCTAGCACAACTAGCCTCTCGAGTGAAAGTCCCACTGGGCGTAGAAGAGACCATGATCACAATCAAAAGAAGGACTCTCCCTTCTATAGAGTCACGGCATGAGATGGCACGTCATTTCCAAGTTGACGAGCCAGAAATAATCAAACCTGCCAAGAAGACATGGGAGATTTTCAATGTTGATATAGATGGATTAGACTTGGAATATTGGAGAACACTAATTATCCAATTCTTGCAGGAGCCTAGTACCAATGTGGACAAGAGGGTTCAGCTTTTGGCGCCACATTACATTTTGATTGATGGAGGATGATCCCACAAGCATCCTGTGAATGGGGTATACTTGAAAGAGTATCACCCTTCCATCTATGAAAACTGGAAATCCACAATCATTCAACTGGCCAAGTAAAATGGCTGGTATCTTCTTTTCCAAGTAAACCGGAAAATTGGAAAGGCCATACTTCGACCATTCCAAGAAGGAAAAGCTAAGTACTTGGAAAAGTATATTGGCTAAAGTTATGAAGCAGACTTAGCTAAATTTCTAAGATCAGCTGATTTCCTAAATATGGAGCATTTCATTGAGAAGAGGCTACATTACATGGTCCAGGTTTTATTCATATTGGAAATTACTCATCTTGCTTATACATACATTTGAATGTTAGCAATTCCAAGCTAAGTCCAGCCATACTGAAAATATTTCAGAAACTTTTTCTTATCCCTTTACTTTATACAAAATATCCCCTCCTTCTTTCAATACTTCCACTTCCACTTCTTCTTCTTCAATTTCTTTTTCTTCTTCTTCATAATGGCGGAATTTAAATCCCACGCCTTGTGATCGAGTACTCCACAAGGCATGGAATTTGGGGGACATATGTTTACACCATATATATTTTCCGGCTGGAAAGGTTTGTCGTAGTTAATCCCATTGGAAAGGTAATATGTAAAAGCGCAATCATGAAGCAACATCTGGTTTCATCAAATAAAGCCATTTGGTACAAGATCTGCAGTTGGAAAGACGTGAACTTTCCAAAGGGACACATGACAAACATCTGGAAAGCCATGTGTACCTTTGACCTAGTCATCAAGAATGATAACTTCCCCACTCCTATAATATCTCTTAGTTTGTAGGAGTCACTCCAAGAATAAGGCAACCACTTACCTTATTTAGGTGAAGAGGTTGCTAAAAATCAGCAAAATGGGTTAAAAATATGATGCATTTACCAAAGAAATATGAGGAAAATATGGGACACGTGGCATTATCTGGACCTTCCAGATAGAATTTCTCAACTGCTAGAATTGCTGCCTTTCCATCTGGGCAGTTACAAAATGTGGGATAAGGCCTACAAACATGCATTCAACCGCCAAAGTCCACTATCTATCAGTTATAAATCATGGGAGAACATGTTCTTACATGTGTCAACACTATGAGAAGACTAAGGAACACATGGGACACGTGGCAAGATCTGGACCTTCTAGATAGAAGTTCTCAACTGCTGCTGTAACTGCTGCCTTTCCATCTGGGTAGTTCCAGAACGTGGGAGAAGGCTTGTAAGCATGTATTCAACCACCAAGTCCACCATCTATCAGTTATAAGTCATGAGAGAATATGGTTTTACACTTAGCAACATTTAGAGAAGGTTGAAAGATCATGGGACACATGGCAGTCCGAGATTTGGCCACGTGGAAGCTGCTGAAGCTGCCACATTAAGCCGCTACATGCATGGAAAGCTCTATAAATAAAGCACTTATGCTTCACTTGCAAACTCTGTTCAACACACACAACCAACAACACTTCAATTTCTTTACATTCATGTATCTTTACATTCATGTAATGCAATTTCAATATGTTTAATTTAAGTCCCGCACTTACTATTCCTACTTTCCAGCACTTTACTTCGAAGTCCTGCACTTTCAATACAGCTTTCCTTTTCACTAGCCATAGTTCAGTCCGAAAGTCCTTTTTCAAGGCAAAAAGAACCCTTGAAGGTGGTAATTCCAGTCCTTCATTCAATCGCCTAATCCTACAATTTCTTACTGGATAGTTGTTCAGATATCCACTTTGGAACGACAGCAGTTCCTGGCACGCTCGACGTTCACCCTCCTTTCCTAATTGGAAAGGACCCCAGTTTTTTGGAGCCGAACAACACCAAAATGATCCATGTACTAGCAATTATTATGAGATTCTTTGCACCTTCTCAAGTATCAGTTGGTCTTCATAGATGAATCTAGACAAGTCTAGATTAATCTTCCAACAAACTCAAGCACTAATTTGAGTTTGGAATCCACACCCTCCAACCCTCTACTGCCATTTCTTCCCCCCCCCCCCCCCCCCCCCGGCGGTCCGTCTCTCTCTCTCTCTCTCAAATTGCCTCGGCCACATCCAGTACCATTCTCCCAGACCCCACACCATATCTGTGTACCATCTCCTCTGCACAAACTCTAACGTATAGTCTACATATGCTTAACAACCAGCAACTTCATTGATATTTAGAAAGTAAGCGAAATTCAGGAAGCCAGATATGAGAAGGTCAGCTCTTCAGATAAAATACATCATGAAAGGCTTAACAAGTATTCAGTTTTCAAGTAGCTTTATTTTCCAAAAAAAAAAAAGTATTCGGTTTTCAAAAAATTGAAGTGCCACTCTAGTCCTAAAGCATTAACAGAATTTTATTATATAGAAAACAACAAATATGGAAGAAGCCACCAAGATTAGGTACTGAAAACAGAACAGTTATGCACAAATGTACCATGCAACTTTCTAGGACATGCATGATCTCTTAACTTCAGTATCATGATTTGTAATTCCATGTAATAATCCTTACAGCACCACTCTGTTCTTAAAGATGCTCTAATAAAAAAGCAGCGAAGATCAAATATGAGTGCAAGAATAAAATAATAAAGAATAGAAAAAAAAAATTAAGAAGAGGAAAAAAAAAAAAAAAAAAATGAAAGCTTTGAAGAAGAAAATTAGGGTTTTATTGAATAAAGTGAATGCAAATTTTTTGAAGGGATCAAAGAAACTTGAAAAAAAAAACAAAAAATTAAAAGAAAAAAGAAAGAAAGAGTTACAGAAATTCTTAGACAAGGAGAATTTTATAGGGACATTTTTTTAAAATTAAAAAAATTACATACACAAAGTAAATAAATAATTTATATATATATATTGAAGAGTCATATTGAGCCCAAGGGACAACTTTAGAAATAGAAAATTTTAGGAGGGGGGGTGATTGCACATAATAAAGTGTGTGTGTGTGTGTATGACGAGCCACGTTGGGCCCGGGCCCAAGATACCTCCGTCCCGGCATTCTTCAAAGGTGACCAGCTTTTATTACTATGAACCATCACGAGAGCATTGGCACCAAAAAACTCTAATGGAACTTTTAAAGGGAAGAACATGTAATCACCTGACTAAGTAGTTCTGAATATGTTACAACCTCAACTCCTGTTGTTGATGGAAGTGATGGCATTTGACTATCTACCCCTCCAACCACCTATGCAATAGTAAAGCAGATTAAAGCAACTTTAGGGAAAACTGACGAACCAGTATCAGGGTCAGTTTTAATTTGTGCAATTCACTTGACATACCACTATTAAACGTAGAGAAGGAATCTCAGACAAGAAGCTCAGCAGCTGCAAATTCCAAGTGAGAGAATAAGACAAGTGCACCATGACACTAAAATAAAGAAAGGTTTGCCAAATTAAGTTCTCAGATGTATCTTCCAACCATTAGTTATATCTATAGAAATCTAATAGTGATCGAAAATCACATCCATATTCCGGATTTCAAAAAAATTCAAAATCCACTATAATTTTCTAAATATTGGACATTACAAGATTAATATAAACTATATGCCAAAATTCCACACAAAGTTCTGAATTTGTCACATTTCTTTGGTAGAAAGGTAGTAACTGCATGAATATTTTACAGCTAAATTCCCATCCTTTAGAGAATTTGACTACAAACAAATTTCAACAATAAAGACTATCTTCTCCTGACACGAACAGCTTTATCAACAGAACATATAGCAAACTCACAGTATTCAATGTCTGCGGCACACAAAATATAGCTTGTACAACAGCATGATTCACAATATATTTTACAGCATCTGGACCTGCAAAGCAAACAAGGAATGATATTAACAACAGAAGGGTCTGGCCAAGTTGAACAAAGATTGTTTTACTGAACAATCAATGACAAACCAAGGGTGTCATATAAAGGAACTGATATATATGAATATGCAGAGCACGCATGATCGACTATTAGCCATTCTGGTCTGTTGATAAAATACAATCCAACACAAGCTCCCTGTAGTGACATCAACCAAATGGGTAATCAGATGTATAGTAGACAAAAGATGCAGGAAGTATAATTGAATGTCCTCATCAAAGCAGGCATCTACAGAAAACCACACAAAATTCAAATAACCTGATGGTCGAATCAAAAAGAGTGCAATGATATTCAAGAACTTGCCTTTGGTATCCCATGAAACACTAGACCAGAACCAACTTCTGATCGAGCAGTACCTGCTTCGCCATATGTCATCCATTTGTACCTTAAAGTGTAGAAGTAAATTCAAATGAATAAGGGAGCTTCAAATATGAATTGCAAGTTTAATTTGAATGCTAACTTACTCTCCAACTGTTCCATCTAAACGAACTCGAGTACCCAAATATTTATAATCTCGAAAAGTCTCAACTGAGTGCCTACGTTTACAAAATTAAGAGGAAATAACTTGGTGAATTCTTCTGAATGAAATTAGCACAGAGGTGGCAAAATATGGACACAAAACATATCAGTAGTAAAAACAGAGTTAAGGCGCGTTTTCAACCAAGTAACGGAGGGATGCTTACACAAAATTATCATGCAAGGTACCAATTTCAGGATGATCGGGGAATCCACTTAAAAGCTTCAAAGGAGTGCGTGCAGATCTGACATGAAAATAATCGTATATTAGCAACTGCCTCGGGGTGATGCTGAGTTAATAAAAATTAAACAGATAATTCCAACCTGTGTACATTCCACTTCCCTGTCCGCAATTTCTCTGGAAGCACAACACTGTACCCTTGCTCTGCTTAGAATTCCAGGCCAGCATTGACAACATTAATACGTGAAAGAAAAATGATGAAAATGGTGATGATAAACAGTTAAAAGAACCAGCCTAGAAAACTAGATTTGTTTTTCCGTTCTTCTCTTTCTACCCGTCTCGAAACCTTGACCTAGGGCTTGGGAGTTAAAATCTAAAGCCACTAAGACAAAAGTGGACCAGTTAGAAAACTAGAATTGACTAGTCAATTAAGACTAATGGAATCACAATGATTAGCGACAGCAATTGGCAACTGAGAGGTATATACTACATCCCGATCTTCTCACAAATAGACATTAGCACACATCTCTAGACTAGTTTCTCTATAATTTATAAATACATTCTACAATCCCCCTTGGAAATTACATTCCATATAAATTCCACAATCCCCCTTGGAAAGTACTTCAACCAATAGTTTGAACATCCTCTCTTGCAATTTTTGAGAATTTAAGTGTCATAACTCCCAAGGGTATTGATAGCATAAAAAACATATTCTTAAAATATTTAGCCAATTCATGTTCAAATCAACCAAACAAAATATGAAATGAATTTGAATAAAAACCCAAACCCCAATTCTAAAGTTCAACTTTTCAGTGTTCCAAGTTCCAGCACAATGTGCCAGCTATCAAGAAATTCAAATGAAGCAATTCCCTTGTAACAATTACCAGCAAAACTCAGATACCAATAAAGCAATTCCTTCCAGTCTTTTACTCCCAACCACTGTGTAGGAAGAACAAGGAATAATTAATGTCTTTTTGTCCATTCTTTTTGTTAATCAGTTCTTCAATACCATAACATAAAGAGAGATAGTTGAAGTTGTTAGGTTCTTTCTCTCGATAAGCACTTTTCAGTGGGTGAAAATGACCTATCCAAATACGAAAAATGTGGGACTTCTAAAACCCCACATCTCCTCTTGTTTCTTTCTATATCGACATCTCCACGTTGAAGAAACTCAGACTCCATTCCAAAAAATAAAATAAAATATATGACGTGATTCCACTTTTTTTTCCCCCTTTTTCTTGTAGGTTTACATTCACATTTCTCTTCAATAACATTAGCCTTCTCATTGGTGCCAAAATGTTCTACAGAATTTTTTTTTTTTTTTTTTTTTTTTTTTTTTTTTTGGGTCCCTTTTAGTCAAATACACACAATCCAATTTTCGAACCAATAAAATCTATATCTCCAAAAGCAACAATTAGAATTCTGGAACTGTCATCAACACTTCATCTTAAAGATTCCTGATCTTGTGTTAATAATAAAATTTTAATAGAAGTGTTTGCTTTGATTGATGCAAAGTTTTAATTTTTCAGATACCAAAACAAGTAAAAACAAAGCAATTCAAAACCTTTACAAAGCAACACGGTATCGTCAACTTGACCTCCAATATCAATAGACAAAACATCTACAGCTAGATAGAACATCATTCACGTAAAGATACATAAACACACCCATATATATATACACACATACATAGAGAGAGTACCAATAAAGAACTCGCCAGTGGTATGGTTGGTCCGGAGAAGAGGTTGTTGGGTGCCGGCGGTGTAGATGAGGTGGTTCTGAATTGCTCTAAGGCGGCGGCGTTGGGCTGTTGAATCCATGGAATTTTCGGCGGAAGAAATGGTGTCATGTGATGTAGGTATCATCATCATGTGCATAATGTTTTACAGAGAGTGAGAGGAGGACAGGGCAACGAATGCTTTACAAATATGGTGTCGTTACATAACTTACATGGTTCCAATAGGGAATGCGTGTTTATTGCTTATTACCATAATTACCATATTATGATTTTGGAGTAAGAAATCATGCTCATCGAATGCTAAATTAAGTAATTACTATACTATGATTTTGGAGTAAGAAATCATTCATAGTCATAAAATGCTAAATTTTGGACGTTAGTGCCGGCGGTTTATCCCAAACCATGCATTTGTCCAAACATTAACGGTATCTAATCAAATATTAAATTAAGGAAAAGTTATCTTTCAAGCCACAGTGAATAATTTATGAGAGAGTAATGCAATCACAGAGCGCTCTCACCGAAAAGTCAAAGAGTTCCCGCTTATAATCATATTTTAGGGATTTGGAAGAGAGAATTAATTAAGAAAGAATCTTTTTCAATAAGAAAAAAAATAATCCACTTTTCTCTCTCTTCCCTCCATGTTATCTCTTTCTCTCTCTTAGTTAACAACCTCAATCAATCTGTCTCTTTCTTGGTTAACCCTATGCAAGCCTTTAGTGTTAATAGCATTCTTAGACAATAATTTTTCAAGAAAACAATTAAAACACCATCCCCCCTCATTCATATCCATGGTAATTTTTTCGTTATCAAGAGATAATGAAAACGACTCAATTTGTTTAAGAGTCTTTTGATTCATAACTTAGAGAAAATCAAACCTTCAAGAAAACAAAGTCTCACCTATCTTCGATAATTGAATTGATGGCATAGGAGAGAGAAACCAAGGATAGAATGCAGGTGGAGAGATTCATTGACAGAAAGACAAATGGTGGGTTGCTCTTCAAGGAAAGGTGGCAAGGATTGAAGAAAAGATTTTTCAATTAAAGTTTGAACATAATTGATTCAAGCTCATGGAGTTTTGATAGTCAATTGTTGGTATTGATTCCTTGTGGTAAGCAAATCAAAGATCAAATCTTGGACTAGAAAAAACAAAAAACTCAATCTTTAATACACCAAGTTTTTGGGTGCAGTTAGAGAAATACGTGAGAAATTAAAGTTGGTAATAGATTTTTAAGCTTTGATTTTATTGAAATTCAATACACAGAATTAGAGGGAGGGTGTTAATCAAGAGTGAGAGAGAGAAAACGTGGAGAGAAGAAAAATAAAAAAAAGGATTATTTGTTTCCTTATTGCAAAAAATTCTTTCTTAATTAATTCTCACTCCCAAATCCCTAAAATAGGAATCATGTGACTTCTAAGCAGGAGTTAAACTTCTTGCGAGAGTCCAAATCCCTAAAAAAAAAGAATGGTGGAATCGTGTGACTTATAAGCGGAAGTTCTTTATACTTTTTGCGAGAGTGCTCTCGCACAATAGTATTACTCTTTCGGAAATGTGCCTGAAAGTACTTATTTAATAAATTAAAAAAAATTTAAAGATTAAATTGTTTTGGTTTTTCTGGGTTCCTAATTACATTATCCTAAACTAGACCCTACCGCTTAGACTTTTCTATTACATGTCCTTGATTCATTTCTAATTTTGTCCTCGTATTTTAAATGTTTAATTAGTAGACATATTTATTTCAGTCATTTGCCTTAATATCCTCAATTTTTATTAAATTATTAGCAAAATAATTGTTCAATAATTTTTTTTATATATAATTTATTTGTTATTCTTTTACTACATAAAATCACATGAGTAGATTTTCAGTGTCACCAATTTTACTAATTATATCTTTTATAAATGGTGATTTGGATAATCTTTTAATTTTAAATCATGAACAATGTATTATCAAAATCCGATTTTTTTACTAAATTTACATTTCATTTATTCAATCATATTAAATAATCATTGTAGCACATTTCTCCAACTTTATAAGCACGCATTGGAATCATATTAAATAATCATTGTATCACATTTCTCCAACTTTAAAAGTATGGATTGGATCCTGATATCCTTCTCAAATACAAGCTGATTTAAGACCGCTTTCGATGTTCACCGATGGTTCTTCGAAGAAAATGAAAAATTAATGATTTGAAGCTTGTAATGCACTCCAGACCCCAGAGGAGGTCTCGAATTTCAGTGGAAGTATATGTGTGAGCTCCAACTTAGAAGAAAGAAGAAGAAAAAAAACCCGCTTGTACAAATGCCCTCCATTCATACAAACTCTTTCTGGCCTGTATATGAATATCTTGCCCTTTGTCAAATGCATGCGTTTTAGATAATTCAACTACAAATATAAACCATTCAGATAGTAGAACACAAATTCTAAATAGAATTTGACAGTCAACTAACAAAACAATTCAAATTCGCTGAAGAAAAAAAAAAAAAAAAACAAACGAGTTTATGATATGATGATAAAGATAACGATGAGTTAACCTAATGAATGCAAAATTATCCGGAAAAGCAGAGGAGTTAGGTCAGGTAGACAAGAGGAGTACATCCGGCTGAGAGTCACGCCATGCCGTTAAACCAAGAAAGACCGTTTAAACGAAAGCTATTTACACAAACTGCCACCACAACCGGATAAACAAAAATCATGAACTCTCAATAACGTATATAAGTCATCACTTCCACATTTGTAAAAATTCAAATTACATACTCCTCAGACTAATTCTCCTACAGTGTAGGGAAAAGTGTTTGAAGCTATTCTCCCTCCTAAAAGCCTTCTCACATAAACCACTTTGACCACCAGCAGAAAACATATTATCCCGACTTAAATGACGCAGAGATCATCAGATTATATATATATGAACAAAACTAACATGTACTGTCGCGTTGAACCGATTGTAGTCATCTTTTGTATCTTCTAAAAGAGCTCCATCAACTGTTGTGCTACATCTGCTTCAAACAATCACATTATAATTTAAATCAGATATAAAGGAATGCACATACAATGTGGTTCCACAATAGAGAAGGAAGAGAATGAAAAACTGCCACAAGAAAGAATATGAAAGAAATTACTTAGGGAAAGGAATTAATCATGTAAACATAGATCAACAAGAAAGAAAAAAGAGACATGATTAAATACCTTGAAGAATATATGGTGGCGTCTGAAACTCTTGCCATATCCTTTGGTATGAAGTAAGGTCTATCTTTAACAATTTGGCAGCAAGGAATGCAGCTCCACCAGCAATCTCATGTGGCTTGAACTGTAGCCACAGTGAGCTCCGAAGCCTGCAAAATAACATCCATCAGTTATGAACTCAAAAGAAACAAGAAAACCATCATTGTTCAACATTAGCTGAGAAATTAATGAATAGAAAAACAAACCATCTGAAGCAACATTATAATGAATGGGATGTGTCTCATACAACATAAATAATAGCCACGTTAACAAAACATCAGCTTCAAAAACTTACAAAAAGGATGACTAATATACAATTGCGAGCATTTTAACTCCAAGAGTACTTTCATATTAAATTCTGAAGACAAGACCATAAAAATCAAAGTATCAAGTAAGAAAAGCAATCCAGGGCAATTTTCCCTTACCAACCACAAACAGCAACCCAGGTGAATTTTTTTCCATGAATCTTCTGCAGTATTGCCAATAAGAGTACCAAACTATAGCAAACATGTTATACCATCTAGACAACACATCAACTGGCAGGCCAAGTTCTGCTGCAGGGAAATTATGATTCCAACAGCATACACAATTCAAATGAAAAGGCAAACAGGAAGAAGCAACACATGTTGCAAGCAAGCAAACCTCTCATGGCAAGTGCAAGTGTCTTCTGCTCAATGCTTCAACCTGAGTAGAATTCCAAACATGCATGCTTTCTTGCTAAGGACATGAACACAAAAGTCTAGGGAATGCTGCCCGAATCCTCAAGTTATAGCTATAGTGCAGAGGCTTGAAAAGGCTTTAACTAGTAATTCATATAGTTAACTCATATCCATATATCCATAATATTGAACATAAATATATACACACGTGTTTTGAGAAATTAATAGCCAAGCCCTACATTGGCAGTTACCATATTTTGGAAAAGAGAGAATTAACCAATAAAACTTCTATTATGCAATTCCACCTCATTATGGTCATATGGTGGTTTTGCCCTTATGGTAAAAGATACTTGGGTGCCACCACAAACCTTCTGAGACATCAATCTCAGCTGCCAAGAGTAAAATAGCAAAATGTATTCACAATAGGTACTTGTTATTCTTTGCAAAATAAGTGCTTAGAGTTTTTAAAATTTTAAAAATATAGCAAAAGAAAAATGGGTTGAATTTTGGCTCTATAATAAAATATAAATGAGATGACAAAAAATAAAATAAAATAAAATTGCAGGAATCGCGAACTAGAAAAGAATGTCCATGATTAGCAAATTTTGCTGATGAATGGTACGTCTGGGTGTACTTGATGGAAATAAAGATGTCATTGTAATTTCACAATGTAAGAATGAAGTGTCAGAAAACTGTATAAACAAATAAATGCCAACTAATTCAGGGGGAAAAAAAGTAAATGCTAACTCTATATTTGTAATGATGTAATATTTTCATTAAATCCCAAACTATGCCACCAAACACCACTTCCTCCCAAACTATGCCACCAAGCTCTGTGACAATCAAAATTGAGCACAGACGTCCACATACATCCAAATGAATTACATTATTCTGTTCTAACAGATTCTTATCTAGTTTTCTCAAGAACCTTGTAGTTAATAACAACTGCCGCACCTTAAAAGATCACCCTCTTCAACTATGCTGGGGTAATTCTCCAATTAGAGATCAACAACAATTGGATGGATTTGAAAATTTAGAAAACATAGGAGCAACTTTAAAGAACTCAAAACAACAAAGAACAACCATTAAGCTGTATATATATAATAAATTATCAAAAGTATAATGAAGTTCTCCAACTTAATTGAAAAAAATAAAAAATAAAAAAATAAATAACTGTAACAAGGATCGATTAATTACCCCAAGCAATTGGGATAAGGCTTGGTCGTTATTGTTGTTTCAGAAAATTGAATGAAAGTCACAAAAATGACAACTAGAAGATAGTTTAAGGATAGATAGTGAAAAATAGAATATACTAAAAGGAAGCCATCATCTCGGCCCACAATAATAACAGACTCTGAACCATGAATTAAATAGAGGTGGCAATGAGCAACCAATAATAGTTTTAAATCCATTGTCTAGAAAACACTAAAAAATGGGTAGAGCATAGATCAATTAAAGAACCAGAAAGAAACAAGTTGACCAAATTAGTGCCCACCAGGCATGAAGCCTCATTTTTGTGCAAAATTGTGGCATAAATATATGTATGTTAACCCTTTAGGGTTCAATCTGAGCAATTAATCATGAAAAAAAAATTTGATTTGTAACTGATATATTTTTGAATTTACTACCGTTATGTTTGGAAGCACCGAACCTTGGATTTGGGATTGGAAATTCCAAGGCGCCGATTTGGTGAAGTAGATATGTGATTGTGGCAGGAGACAAAATAAACTAAAATAGTGAAAAGACTCGTGCAGAAACGTTTCCCTTCTTTTCTTTTGGGAAGAGGACAAAAGCAGGGGAAGAACATTTTATATAAAGTCTGTCTATGGAGTTGACTCTTTGTGGCATTCCTGTACCAAAAAAAAGGAATACTAAAAAACCTTTTACATGTGTCTGCAAAAGCATACAACCTCAAGCCTAAATAGGTACACACACACCCAGAGAAAATGAAGGGGGGGGGGGGGGGGGGGGGGGGGGGGGAAAGTCAAGGCTTCACAAAATAAACAGTAGTGTAGAATTAATTGTAGGTAATTATTACTTAATAAGAATAAAATAGGGTAAATATTTGAAATGCCCTCTAAAATAAATTTACTAGCATATATAAAAGTGTGTGTATGTGTGTGTTAAGGATCCAATTAACTCTTTCCCAATCCCATAAAGCCAAAAGTAAGCCTTCCCATGCCATTTCCTCCACCAATGACTGTTTAAAAGATAGCCTTTCGGACAAGAATGCCCGCATCTCTCAGTTATGGACTCCATGTAAGCTTTGTAAGTGAGAGAGAATCTGAAAGGAAAGATAAAGAGTGAATATCCGATGTGTGTGGCAAGTGAAAGACAATCGCATAGGAAGAGGACAAGGATTTCTAGTAGTTTAGGACACTCATGATGGGTAATTGCAAAAACACTGGGAATTCAGCAATTTGATGACAGAGTAGCAATTGGCACTAAGACTGTTGCAGTGGTGGCTATGATGGACATTGAAGATAATGATGAGAGAGCAATGACGGATGGTAGTCTGAGTAATGCTATCAATCACCAGCAACAATAGAAAAATAGGTGGTTACAAAAGCTAACAAAATAAATCGCCATCTTCTCTAGCATGTTCTTCCTACTCAATCTTTAAGCTTGCTCTTCCAAAAAGGTTCAATGAATATCTGGCCTTATCCCTCTTCTTAAAATTTGAATGAAGAAGAAATAACTCAACACCATTTCTTGATTTATTTGCCTACGCATAAGTATCCTCTAGATTACTTGGTATGGACACCAAGAATATAGGCAGCCATATCCTACGAAAGAAAATCGTGACGGGAATCAACACGAATCATCCAATGTTATCACAATAATGTAAAAGTGAAATGTCAATACTGGTTCTGGAGCTTCTGAGGCCATTCTGTATAACCAATAATCAAGTCAGATATATATATGCATGGAAAAGGCATGCACAACACATCGGTAGTTCAACTTCAGATGTAAAACAAAACTTTCCATGAACAGCATATCAATCCGCCAGCTAAGAATATCAAATAGGCGAGCATGCTAATCTTGTATAGACCCTGCAATTATATGCCAATCCAAAATAATCAATATCCATGGCAGAATGACACAGGGCAATTAATCAAGAAAATAGAATATAGAAATATTCACACAAGTAACAAACAATTCAAAATCCAAGAAAGCAAAAAGAGGAATCAAATTCTCCTCCATTTCGAACAGGCTCTTGACCTCAACAAATCTGCATTTCATTGAAGTTCAAACACCAACAGTCCACATCCATCAAAGCAGATTGATAAGCATAAACACGAGGAAATATACAACATTACAAGCAGAATTTGTATGGATATGAAGATAACAACAGATTCCAAATAATGGCAGAAGTGGAAGCAAGCTAAAGATCATCAAGAGAAAGATTGAATAAATTTCCGATGTACGCAATGAGGTAAACTTCAGAATGCACTAGATTCCGCACTTGTAATTTGTAAATAAATGAGATCCATAACTATAATTACAATAGTACAAACATCAAGAAACTAAGAAAGTACTGAAAGGGAAGAACTTACCCTTCGCTGACCAAGTTCAGTGCAAGATTCACCAAAAGTGATTGTGAATAGCCTAACTTGTTAAGAATGGATGTAAGCGGCACATATGGATGTTGCACATTAAGCTCAAAATTTAAAGTTGTCAATATCATTTGCTCAGCTTCAGTCACCCGTTCTCGATACTGCTCAAACCAGTTCTGTTCAATATGTAAGCCACTTTGTGAAAGCATGTTAAAGACAATTATTAAGAACTGTAATGTGCAACTGATGCTTATGATTAGGAAATGTTGCTAGTTGGACCATTACAGAAGTATATCTTGAAGTTTTCAACTGAGTTTCTAAAAGAGAGCACCTATGTTGTGATTTGATAATGTCAAAAATCCGAATTCATCCATAGCCATAAGAAATAACCAGTTCAAACTAAATAATTAATGATGGCACTCATGATGTGATTTGGCGAAGTTAGATATTAACACCAAATCAGTAATCATACACTTTAAAATTACACAGTCACATTGATTATTTGCACCATTGCTGCAAAATTTTCCGTTTCTTCTTTTCCTTCTTGTGAGTGTGTGTGTGTGTGTGTGTGTGTGTGGGGGGGGGGGGGGGGAGTTCCAAAAATACTTACAACAGGGAGCAGATGGAAGGGAAAAGCAAGATCCCAATTGTGAAAATTTTCACATGATGCACTCAATACATTGTTTAGAGGCCGTGGTGTCTCCTCAGACTTTGCAGCCAAGAAAAGTGCAGCAGTAGCAATCAACTGCAACATAAATATATCAGCAATTATTAACCTTCACAGCAACCGGGAGAAAATAACAATAACAAATACAGGAGCAGATAGGCAAAGGAGTAACAGACTGCAACCAGGTAATATACCATTTTTATTTTTTATAATTTATTCATACACCACCCCATCCACTACTGCCACTACTAGGGCTTGAACCCTCAACCTCCCGTGTGGGAGGAGGAGATAGCACTTGAGCTGTAGGCTTGGTCTTCAACTGATGTATCATATTTTGCATCAAGAGTCAAGATTTCATCATCATGAACTTGCAGGTAACAAAGCACAATCCCATGGCACCAGATAGTTAAACAACAATACATACATACTGAAATCTTTTCAACATTATTTATTTCTTATATAAGTAATAGACTAACAGGTTCTGAGAGCAGCAAAACCAGCTGAGGTATTTTACCTTTGGAAGATTGGAAGCAATTGTACTTAAGTCCCATTTAAAGATCCATCCATAAGAACGTAGTAAATATGATACAAATCATACAACTTAAACATGTTTCACAAAATATTTTGTAAATAAAATAGCATCCTGAGATGGAAGATTATAGAACTTCAGAAAATTTGAAGCATGAAAGATAGGAAACTCACAAATCTATCATGACAAGCATGAGACCTTCGAACAAAAAAGCGATGGCAAAGAACCATGGCGGTGCCTATAGTGGTTTGCGGCCTGCAAGTGAGTCCAAAAAAAAAGGGATTCATAAGACTAATTAATATACTTAAAATGATGGTTTTAAAATACAATCCATATCTACAACCAAGCCTGAGATTGTAGACAACATAAGTTTATAAATGTGAAGGGAAAGAACTTACAACTCCAGTCGCAATCCCAAATTCTGCAGGTAGGCACAGTATGAGTACCGCATATGTGTTTCAGAAAAAGCATCAATCCCATCTTTCCTTGATGGAGAGCAGCTGTCAATCTCATTCCTTGACATAAAGACCACATCATCATCCTCAAACTTTGACCGATCACGTTTCCCGGTGGTAGACGTATAAGCAATGGCATCTGTTCTTGTATGAGCAGGAAGGACAGAACTGCTGTTGCGGGTTGAAGGGTCACCATCATGTGTTTTGGGTTGTTGAAAATGTCTCCTGCTATCTTCCCAGGAAGAGGCTGTAAATTTTCTCCTTTTCACAGAAGGCACCATATCAAGCCTAAGATAATTAACATTGTAATTATCATCCCCAAACTTCCTAGAGAAATTAAGGGAATTGGCAAAATTCCTCGAGTGATGGTTGCTATTGTTGGTGTTAGTGGTGGTGGAGGTGTTGGATGAGGAGAGATTTCTACTGGAATATGACCTGTGGTCATCACTGATAGTGCCACCTTGTGGACGGTGATTTCGTCTAAACGCCATAGTTCCTGCTCAATTGTCAAAGGAAATAATAAGTTTGAGAACCCAAATGAATAAAGAAGTGTTTGCTTTATCAAGTTAATATTATTATCCACTAAGATGACACATCCTATGTGTATGTTTCCTGCCTCATTGTATTTCATTTTATGAATCTAAGTTAATTTTACCAATTAGAATTTCTCTAGAACTGCCAATTGTTAATTTTTAGAGAAGTAGCAAACAAAGATTGCCAGAAAGGGAAGGTTGATATTGAAGAATTGATTCATAGCGTTGGCCAAAAACCACTAATACTACTAGTCTACTAATTAATACAGCAACAACAACAATGATCTGCCATAGTTTGCAATAACAATATAGGTTAGAACTATGGACAATTTCACAGATTACAAAAATATAAAGGCGCCCTCATGTGGTAATCCTGATCAGGATAATACTAAATTAGACCAGATGCAGATATCCCAAATCTAATGCTATCACACTGCTCCAATCATTGTTCACTACCGGCCTTTAGCTATAACAAACTTCTTAAACTCAAATTTTCATATAAAGCATATAAACACATTTTTTTCAGCCGATTTACTGCTATAGATATCTGAAGTCAAGCAAATTTTCCCAATTCTCATTGTTCACTACCGGCCTTTAGCTATAACAAACTTCTTAAACTCAAATTTTCATATCAAAGCATATAAACACATTTTTTTCAGCCGATTTACTGCTATAGATATCTGAAGTCAAGCAAATTTTCCCAATTCAGAGAATTGGATGAGGTAGTCATTGCAATCAAAGACACCATTAACGCATATTAGAATAAGTTAAAAGTATATAGCAGCAAAAATGTATATATATATATATATATATATATATATATCACAAAAAAGATATAATCGTTTGATCCTCATAACCTAGAATCTGAAAACCCAAATGCCCTCCCAGTCAAATCCTAATAGAAACAAACATTGAGCAAAAAAAATGAAACTGTAAATGAATAAAATCAGATTAACCAAAAACAAGGATATTGTAAACGACGATAATAATAACAAAAATTACCTACTTAGCAGAGAGAATTAATAGGTCTGATGATTCTGTATTGTCAAATGAAAGACGTCGTCGCTATATATGATGAGATTGAAAGATGATGCTTGCTTGTGGTTAGGGTTTGAGTTTTGAAGACGAAACCTTTTGATAAAATTAATCGATGAAAAAGAAAAGAAAAGCAATATGAAGGTCTTGAAAGAAAGGCTGATAAAATCGAAGGCGTGCCAGATACTTTATATCTGTACGTATATGCGTGTATAGATAGAGAGGACTCTTCTTACCGTGCCAAAATTCTGTCCTTTGTTGGTTCGGTGAGGTGGACCTAATCCAAGATCCATACCCTCCAACCATTAGAATTTATACGATGCGCGTGTGTGCGCACTGCGCCAGCGCTTGACCAACAAAAGTTCAATTAAGGACAAAAAATAAAAAAAACATTTGATTTCAGATGTTTGAGTCAACATATGAAATATTTAATTTAAGTTCAACTCTAATCTTATTTTAAAATCTAATTACTCAATTCGAGTCTAATTCGTCCTTTTATTTTTAAACATGAGTTTGCAACTCGAACTTAGATTTCAGATTACCCATATGGCTAGTCTTCATACCAAAATTTTAATGCGTTCTTGAATTATAGTATCAATTCTAGTAAACAACAAAAAATAATAATAATAATAATAAATTATTGCAAATTTTTAATAAATTATATACAAATTCGTAGAAAATTAATTCTCTTAAATGTTAAGTTACAATAATTTAATATTTAACAAAGGATTTTAAAAAGAAAAAAGGTGATCATAATTTGAATATTATATAAAATGTATTTAAAATAAAATATATATGAAAATAATATTAGAATTCTAATATTAATATATTCAATCCAAGTTTGACCCTAATTGAGTTTGTGTTCAGATTTTTCAACCCAAACCTAATTTTAATTATAAAATGATTATTTAAACTCGTAAAATATCACACTGGGCTCGTGTTAGATTCGGGTTGCCCGACCCAAATTGCACCCCTGTATCTATCCTTCGAGTACTAACGCATAAAATTATTGTCTTCATCCGGAAAGGTCAATAATATATCACCACTTTTAAAATTTTTGATAACCAATAAATTTTCACAAATTTTTTTTAAAAAATATCTATATACGCATTGAATTTATAGAATAAAGTCCAACATTGAAAGGGTAATTTTGTCTTTAAAAAGTTATCACTTTTAATGTTCAAATAAAGGAAATACAATTTTTTTGGAAAATGATACAATAAAGGAAATACAAATTTTTTGGAAAATGATACAAGAGTAATGTTATTATAGTGAATTACCTTTTTGAAAATTTATTTATGCACAATACAAGTAAGTGAAAAGGTCACTTCTTTATTTGTTGCATATATGAACCAATTAAATTAAGCAAACTTGACAATTCATACAACAAATCGGTACAAGAATCAATTTCTATGATATAATTGTTTTTATTAAAAGTTACCATAGCAAATGTTGACTTCGCATTGTGTGCGCAAAAATCTGTGAATAGAGAAATTTACACAAACATCCGAAAATGTAACGAGGAATTTCTGCATTAGAAATGGCTAATAGCTTCTATAGTTTAATTCACCCAGAAATATATGTCTCTTTAGGGCCGGTTTTTGTTGTATTTGTTCTCATTTCGCTCCTACATTCTCCTTTGGCACTTTAAATTTGACAACATTACTCATATATCCTTTTATCTGCGAAACACTCTCCCCAACCCTAAATTAATATTGGAAAGAATTATTGTTGCAAAAGGCCAATCCGACACCATCACCAAAAATTCATTTTTTTTTTTATCACTTAGACAATGGTTGAAGCATCAATTGCCTTAGTCAAATGTCAATTGCCATGCTGAAATCATATATTCCTCGGGAGCAAATCCTCTTAAATCACTTTGCCATGTTGTCCCATGCAGTGCATATTGCTTAGCCTATAGTTGGTCACATCATTATTTATTTAAGTGCCATGAAACCATGTTTGGATGTGGCAATTACACAAAATAACTTACTCCCTCGTCACTATCTTCACCCCAAAACAAGGTATTCATATAGCGCCGGCTAAATAATGTCATACATAAATGTAACTCAATTCAACATATTATTTATGTTATTATTTGAAGTTAAATATATTTTACTACAAAAAAAATAGAGCATCATAAAAATCATTATCATAAGTTAATTTAAAGAGTTCCATCCCAAAGTTAAAGTTGTTTGGGCTAACTTTAGACAACATACAAAAATACTCGATGTTTACAAAATACTCAGTGTTTAGCAAAATAATGAAAAGAGTCATAGTCTTTTTTTTTTTTTTTTTTTCCATGTATATAGGACTCAGTCGACGTGAAGTGGCTATACATTGACCGGTTAAGGACTTTCGGTCGACGTCTGGTCCTTAGGCATCGGTCAATATCTCCAATTTTTTTGGTAAGATTTATGTGTGATATTAGTTATTAAGCACTATGTAAATACCTTCTTTTGATGGTGAAAGTGGTGAGTGTGGTTTTTCTTTTTAATGTATACGAGACTCGGTCGATGTGAACTGGCCACACGTTGACCAATTAGGGGATTTCGGTAGATGTCTAGTCCTTAAGCGTCGATCGGTATCTCCAAATTTTTGGGTTTGATTTATGTGTGACATTAGTTATTCAACACTATGTGAATACTTTCTTTTGATGGTGAAGGTACTGAGTGTGACAATTAATATTAATTTTTACCAATTTTTTTTCATAAATATCAAATAATAACATGTGAATACATTTATGTGTAATTGTCTCATGCATTGCCTCCAAGGGCAATGACGTTAGCAGGGATTTGGGAGGTAAGTCCTTGAGGTTTCGCTTTCGAATCGCACTCCTGACTTGAATGATGTATGTATTGTTGGGCTAATACATGTATTCTAAGAAATATATAAAAATAAATAAATTGCCGCATACATTTAATATCAAATAATAACATAAATAATATTGTCACACCCCTAATCCCCATGACCTGGTGCATAAGCGAAATAAATAAATCAAACTCGAAATCCAAACCCAAATGTGGGGACGAAGAGTGAAATAGTCATCAAGCGTGAATAAATTATCATGTAACATTTCAACTAGTTTCGAATCATCAACAGTATCCAAATGGATGGTATACAAGGCCTGTAATAGCTTTAAAAAGGGTTGGAGAAAGTCCTAGAGACAAATAATAATAAAAAATGTATAATAGTAGCAAGGGAGCCGGCTCCTTTTAGAGAAGTTGGCGTAAAAGCCTAATAGACAAAAAGGAGCTGGCTCCCTTAAAAAAAAATAGTCAGCTCCCCACCCAGGAAGCCTAAAATTGGCCATTTTAAATGCATTCAAAGCTAGACACTCAATCCCTCCTCAACTCCAACATACATGGATAGTCTAAAGTAAATTACCAAGCCAACTTATAGAGGCTACAACATGGCAACACAAAAAAACTTCAATTCCTCAATCATTAGCTTACATAAAAGTGCTTAAAATTGATAATTACAAACCCAAAAGAATAAAGTTACATTACCATTGCAACAATTACAAAACATTACAAGTTCGGGCCTTAATGCCACAAAATACAATGTTTTACAAAAAGTTTACAAAAATGCAACCATTGAATAAAAAAAGTTCACAAAATGCAACCATTAACCCCAACTAAGCTTGTGAGGTTGTGATACTCCCGGATTTCCGGATGCTGGTTAACCAGGCCCACACCCGATTACCCGAGGATATCAAACCAATTAGCAATAAATGAACACAGAATACAATTAAGAAAACAGGAATAAATAAATTGCTGAAAAGAAACTAGAATGATAAACCAAAACTGAAAACCTCAGAATAAAATTTTTATAAATAAAGTATTAATCTGATACATCCAACTTCTCCAATTCTAATACAACTCGGGAATCCATCTAGTGGACTTCTAATAAAACCAACACTGAGAAATGAACCACCGGAAAGGAATCCAATGCTAAATCATATAGGAACCGCCTATGTCGTCGGTAAAGTGAGTAGTCATCTCTGCTCAGCACGAACAAGCTCTAAGACCTGATACTGTCCGTTACTTGAAAAATAATAGTGGGTCAGGCCCACGAACAAGTTCTATCCTAATTACAATCCAAACTGAGACCCGATACGCAGATACATCGATGTCTCAACCATATCTATATAATCCGTAAATAGATATATACATATAACCACACTACAGGACTCTCACTAGGCTATACTGAAGGTCTCAACCTGAATAAAAGGTAACATGCAAAAACACACTTGAGTGGGCATGACTACCTAAGCCTAACAGGGTATACCTCAACCAACATAGCTAGCTACGCATCCTACTGCATATACGCTCCCTAACCGTCGACTATGAGACTCAAGCTCAGATCGCGGTACCATAATTTATATATATAAATTCCCATCCAAACCAATGTAGTGCCACTCAACAGTTCGTTGCCATGACACGACATAAAATTAGAATTTAAATGTTTTAATTAAATCCCAATCTATTCTACTAACAGAAAATATAAACAACCATCCAATATGTCGTTCAACTGTTTTAATTGACAGGACATGAAACCATGAAGGATTTAACTGTTTTAGTTAATCCATTCCGTATGTATGAACGGGTTGGAATTAGCGTTTTGATCTAATCCGTCCTTCCGTATACCACCGTCCCATACCGGTGCATACCATGCATATGATCCATAAATGATACAATAACTCAATCAGTACATCAAATAAATCCACATAATCCAACTAGTTGATAAAACAGAATTGAAACAGTACATCAACTATAATCCCAAAATACCATCCCTACAATTGCTAAAACAGTTTAATAGTCCAGCAATAAAAATCCCAATCCATAATCCAAGTAATTGCATAAATAATTTAATAATCCAGCAATTTGAATCCAAACATTTAATCCAAGTAATTGCATAAACAGTTTAATAATCCAGCAATTAGAATTCAAACATTTAATCAAAGTAATTGCAAAAACAGTTTAATAATCTAGCAATTAAAATCCCAAATCCATAGTCCAAGTAACTGCAGAAAAGAATATAGTACTTTAACCATTAACATCCAAGATATGCATAGATCAAACTTGTTAATTAAATGATCCTAGCATGCAACCAAAATAAGATTTATAAACATACTAGATCCTGCTGGATTGCCAAAATTAAGCTTAGGCAATTTAAGTGTTCTTTCATCCTTTAACCGTATAAATAAATGCATAAATTTTATATGGTTTGTTTCGTTAATTTAGGGGTAAACTTTAAT